ATTCCTCCTCCCTGCGGGCATCCTCCGCGCTCCTCACGCCCAGCCTGCGTGGCCGCGGCCGCCAGACTGTCCCTGCTCCGCCGCAGCCTCTCCCGAGCGTGCCCGGACCCGTTTGGTTTCCTTCTTCCTCTCCAGGCTTCTAACGCTTGCTAATTCTGTAGCAGTGGTTCTCAACCTCCTGGCCCTTTAAATACACTTCCTCATGTGGTGACCCAACCATAAAATTATTTTTGTTGCTACTTCATAACTGTAATGTTGCTACTGTTATGAGTCGTCATGTAAATATCTGATACGCAGGATGGTCTTAAGCGACCCCTGTGAAAGGATCCTTGACCACCAAAGGGGTCGAGACCCACAGGTTGAGAACCGCTGAAGGGATGGCGCCCCGTAGAGGGCTTCTGGGGGCGACACCTGTTTTTGTGAGGCGGTGGAGGACTTTGAGGAGACGGTGGTTGGCGTGAGGCTGGCAGCCTCGGCCGGGCAGCGCCCGCGGGCCTCCTGGAGCCGGGCGAGGAAGCCAGTGCTGCCACCTGGAGGCCGCGCGGCCTCGCGGAGAGCCCTGGCGTGGGGCCCTCGGCCCGTTTGGTCCTGTCTGGCCGGTGCCTCCTTGCTGGTGTCTCCTGTGGCCGCAGCCCCTGTTCCTGTAGTTGCATGAAGTCGCAGGCTCTCGCTGCGCGCCCCCTGAGCACACCCGCGGGAAGGAGTACCCCTAAGCTTTGTTCTTTTCCTGGGAGGAGCGCTGGGGCTAAGCCTCGTTCATGCGAGCGCGTGAGTCATTAGGCAGAGAGGGAATTCTGGACCGGAGTCAGGAAACTTGTGCTGGAAGCTCAGCTGTGCGACGTCCTCCATTTCAAATTTGATTTAGAATTTCTTTTAAAAACGTCATTGTGCATCGGCCCTCCCCATTTCCCTGGGGAAAACTTAATGACCGACACCCTTTCCAGAGGCCTTTGACCTCTGGTGCGCTGCCACACCCCCCTTCTTTTTCACTTAGTTTCAGTTTCTGAATTCTGTGGTCAGAGGGAACTTGCTGATTTGTTAGTGAGCCCTGAAAATGTTTTTAGACGGACCATCTGCTAGCACCATCGTGGCTTACTCTGTTTTTGGTGCATTGTCCCCTCTTTTGTATGTCACACTCCAGTGGAGATTAGTAACTGTAATATGAAATTAGTAACTGTAATATGAAATTCAGTTCAAAACTTTTGTTGTTTATCCCTAAGTTTATAGACTCGCTTATAAACATGAAAATTTGATTGTAACATGATTATTTCTTAATATGAGCACAGTAGTTTCTACTTGTCTTTTATAGTATGTACTTTATAGTTATTTTTATCATACAGCATATTTTTATTGACTACTAGGTTGAGTTTATAGTTAGAACCATTGAGATATGAATATGACTAAGAGGAATGTCCAGATTCTTAGTGTAGTAGAGGTAGTTCTAGAATATAGTCTTCTGAACTTCCACATTCTCTGCCAAAAAACTTGATGTTATTATTCAGTCTTCCTGTTAGTAAGATATATCTGATGGTACAAATAGTAGAGTAGGAAGTTGCAAGTTAGCAATTCATCTGGTAGCATTTCCTTCCTTAATTTCTGGTAGTTTTACTATGAAATGTCAGGGTTGTTTTGCTGAATAAACCTGCCTTGTTTCATTGTTTAGAATGCTAGGCTTTTATTATTATTTAAAAAAAAATTTATTGATTCTTTACAGAGAGGAAGGGAGAGGGATAGAGAGTTAGAAACATCGATGAGAAAGAAACATCGATCAGCTGCCTCCTGCACACCCCCTACTGGGGATGTGCCTGCAACCAAGGTACATGCCCTTGACTGGCATCGAACCTGGGACCCTTCAGTCTGCAGGCCAGGCCGACGCTCTATCTACTGAGCCAAACCGGTTAGGGCAAGAATGCTAGGCTTTTTAAAACTTGGAATAAGCCAAGTGTTTTGTTGACTTCGTTTTGTAATTCTTTTTTTGCCTAGTTTGTGGTTTTTCTTCATAAGAATTTGCTTTACCATTCAGATTCATAACTTACATATACATTGCCTATAGTCTTTGTAACAATAATTGCATTAGAAAATATATAGCTTAAGAACAAACACACACAAAAAAGTGAATAAATATTTGCCATTAAGCTTCAAGGTAAGTGTAAATGTTAGCACGACGTTGCTCCAAGCAGAAGGTGATTCAGGTACAGCACCTCATGCAATCCATCACCTGCCCACACTCAGACGGTGTCCCCTCCATACCTCCCAGCTGTTTGAGTTTCAGAACTTCATAAACTGTATATCTGCTAGCTGCTACTATTTAATAAAATGTAAATGTTCATCTGACACAGGTTCAAGAAACAGTTGTTTCTCATTCAATCCACTTTGACCCGGGAAATAATCATGGCAAAAATACTCTCCGGGTGACCTTAGGCCAGTGGTCAGCAAACTCATTAGCCAACAGAGCCAAATATCAACAGTACAACGATTGAAATTTCTTTTGAGAGCCAAATTTTTTAAACTTAAACTATATAGGTAACTACATTGTTATTAACTTAATTGGGGTACTCCTAAGGCTCAGGAAGAGCCACACTCAAGGGGCCAAAGAGCTGCATGTGGCTCTCAAGCTGCAGTTTGCCGACCACGGCCTTAGGCAAACAGGCTTTTGTGCCATTTTTTTTAGGGAGGGGGTTTTCATCCTCACCTGAGAATTTTTGTCCATTGATTTTTAATAAGCGCTTGCCATTCCTTTCATCTTTTTAAAAAAATATTTTTTTGTTATTGATTTCAGAGGTGAAGGGAGAAGGAAAGAGAGAGAAACACCAATCATGAGAGAGAATCATTGATTGGCTGCCTCGTGCATGTCCCCTGCTGGGGATCAAGTTCGAAACCCAGGCATGTGCCCTTGACCGGAATGAAACCTGGGACCCTTCAGTCCGCAGGCTGATGCTCTATCCACTGAGCCAAACCAGTTAGGGCTCAATTGATTTTTAAAGAGAGTGGAAGAGAGGAGGAGAGACAGAGGAAAACATGGATGTGAGAGAGACACATTGATTGGTTGCCTCCCACACACTCCCCAACCTGAGCTGGGGATGGAGCCAGAAACCCAGGCATGTGCCCTTAACTGGAATCGAACCCAGGACCCTTCAGTCCGTAGGCTGATGCTCTATCCACTGAGCCAAACCAGCTAGGGTCTATTGTCAGTTTTTATTGAGCACCTTTGGACTGTCTTCTAGGTCCTTGGGCTATATCAGTAAACAAAAAAGATTCCTCCTCTAATAAGCTTATATTCTTGTCAGAGGCACACAGACAGTAAACAATAAATAAGCTATCTGGACTGTGGTATGTGGTACGGAAAGTCGAAAAAGTAAATCAGTGTAGAGGGGATTGAGAAAACAGGTGGAGGAGATGGCACATGAAATGGGGAGGGGGGAGTTACAGTATTAAAGATAGGCCTCAATAAGTGGCATGCATTTGCACAGTGATTTCAACGAGCTGTAGGAATATATCATATATCAAGTGGATGTATGGAAAGGCCTTGATGCAGGAGCATGTGACATATAAGCACAGAGGTCAGTGTGGGGAGAGTAAGGTGAAAACTTAGTAGATGAGTTCAGAGAGGTAATGGTGAGGAAGATGGAGCAGGTGGATCCATGAAGGCTATTGTTGGGACCTTGCTACTTGGAGGGAAATGGGAAGCAATTGCTCAGTTTTGGAGAGGAAAGAGACATGTTCTAACATTTTAAAAGGATGTTTTCAGTTGCTTGTTAAAAATAGACCCTAAAAGAGTGAAGGTAAAAGCAGAGATCTGTTAGGACAATATTAGGGTAAACTACATGAGGGATGGTGGCTTGGGCAAAGGTAGTAGCAATGGAAGTGGTCAGAAACTCAGGTTCTGGAAATGTAATGAAGGTAAAACCAGCGGGAAACATCAGACGCTCTTGGTCGTGTAAAGGAAAGAGATCAAACTATTGTAAAACTTCCACATTCAGATGTCAGTCAAACGTTACAGGTTCATCTCTGCTCTATATTCTCCTCACCGCCATATCCATCTTTTACTAGAACCATGCTGCATGACCCTTCCTGGGTGACCTAGTGGTTAAAACTATGGCCTCTGGAGTTAAACAATCTGGGTTTGATTTCTGGCTTTTGGAAGAGGAATAGAGAGCTAGAAACATCAATGAGAGAGAAACATTGATCAGCTGCCTCCTGAACACCCCCCACTGGGGATGTCCCCACAACCAAGATACATGCCTTTGACTGGAATCGAACCTGGGACCCTTCAGTCTGCAGGTCAACGCTCTATCCACTGAGCCAAACCAGTTAGGGCACCACTGTGTAGTCTTAAATTAATTTCTTAAGGCTCACTTTTCTCATTTATTGACTGGGGATGTTAATAATAGAATCTGCCTCACGGTAATATTGTGAAATTAAATGAGGTTAATCCATGTAAAATACTTAACATAGTGCTTGGCAAGTATTAAGGTCACAATAAATATTAGCTGCTATTATCTCAGATTGTGTTCCTTTGGCCACAGTCTTTCGTCTGCATTGAATGCTAAACCTCCTTTTCCATACCCTCCTCCATTATAGTCTACTTCATTTTTTTGTGTCTCAAATTCACATGACAGAAATTCTTGAGAAAATTTAAAAATGAAATCAAATTATCCATAATTTTCCTACTATCTGTTTTCACCTTTTTATAAGTCCCTCTGGTTTTTGTCCACATGTCTCTATTGTTTATGTAGTTACTGCTATTCATTTTTCTTTTTCCTTTTTTTTAATATTATCTGTTGATTTCAGAGAGGAAGGAAGAGGGAGAAAGAGAGATAAACATCAATGATGAGAGTCATTGATCGGCTGTGTCCTGCACCCCCCCTACTAGGAACTGAGCCTGCAACCTGGGCATATGCCCTGACCGGGAATCAAACCATGACCTCCTGGTTCATAGATCAATGCTCAACCACTGAGCCACATCCAGCGGGCCTGCTCTTCATTTTTCATGACCAGTTCAAATGTCATCTTATGATGCCTTTCCTAATCTGCTGGGTAGAGTAAATCCTGTGCTTTAGGCTCCTTTTAGCATTTTTTCTGATTAACTTAAAAAGGTGTGTTTGTGTGTGTGTATCTGTCACCTCTGCCATACTTCTGAGTATCTTGAGTAAAAAAGGTCTGTGTGTTCACTTTTAATTTTCTGGCTTCTAGTACGTAGTAGGCATCAGCAGACATTTGTTGAATTAGACAAATGAAACTTTCCAAGGCTTTCCACTCCAATCCTTCTTACATGTAACTGTCAGGGTCATATTTGTGACACTCCCTTGCTCAAAATCTCCAATGGTTTCTCATCACCTGCAGAGTAAAGTTTAAACTCCTTAGCTGAGCCCTAGCCGGATAGCTCAGTTGTTTAGAGCATCGTCCTGATATTCTAAAGTTGTGGGGTTGATCCCTGGTCAGGTCACATACAAGAATCAACCAGCCAATGCATAAATGAATGGAGCAACAGACCTCTCTGTCTCTCTTTCTCCTCCTCCCCTCTTAACTGAGTATTTGGTGCTCTACTATGTGACCTCAATTTGCCTTTCCAACTTTATTTTCTACAGTTAGTCAAACTGATCTGTTTATTATTCCCCAGGGATTCCCATCCCCTATCCTTTTTCCCCCCCCTCCATGTC